GTATAACGATGGTTCTGGAAGAGGTCATTCACCCAGCCCGAACGGGGTTCATACTACAGGCCTATCACGCTACTCACAGTTGTTTATAAAATGTTTTCCAAAGCATTGGCTAACCATATGGCGATGGTTCTGGAAGAGGTCATTCACCTAGCCCGAACGGGGTTCATTTCCGAAAGGAACATACAGGAAAACATCCTGCTAGTCAATGATATGGTCCAATTAGCACGATGGAAGCAGGCTAATGCGGCGATAATTTTTATAGACTTCGAAAAAGCCTACGACCACATGGACTGGGAAGTTTTAGATATGTGTTTAGAAAGAATGAAATTTGGACCCTCCTTCCAGCGCTGGGTTAAGATCCTCCACAATAATGCCACCACTTGCGTCCAAATTAACGGATCTGTGGCACCCCCCTTTGAACTCCAACGGTCAGTAAGACAAGGGGACCCCATCGCGACAGAGCAAAGACCTCAAAGGCATTACGATATCGAATATCCCCGAGGAGGCGATACCTATTTGTTCTCTATTTGCTGATGATCTGACCATACTAGTGGATGCAACTCAGGCCAACATGGAGGAAATTCAGCAACTCATGAACAAATTTTGTCGCCTGTCAGACATGTCTGTTAACTGGGACAAAAGACTACGGGGTGGTGGCTGCATCACCAATGGGGCAGACCTCCGGAATACCCACGTATTACTTAGCTTCCCCCGGAGGACCCCTTGAGAATTCTGGGGGCATTAATTACCGCTAGAGGTAGGTCAGCATCCAATGATGAATGGCTGACAGGATCAGCACAAGTTCAGCTGGAAAAATGGAACAACAAACGCGCATCAATCTTTGGGCGGGCACTCGTCATTAATAGTGTGGTCCTGGCCACTCTATGGTACAAAGTCGTCTTATGACCTATGAGTAACGGAGGGCTCAAAATATTGAAACAACAGATTGCGGCGTTCCTATGGAGGGGCGACATCAATAATACTCATGCCATAAGCTGTGTAGCATGGGATTCGGTGATTCAGCCCAAGAATAGGGGCCCATTAGAAATCGTAGACCCAGCCACGCAATTTCAGGCTCTCTCTATTCGTTGGCTTCAGCACATTATCTTCTCACCAACTTCGCCATGGGTCCCCCTCGCCCTGGCTCAGATCTCAGACCTCGCCCCGGAATCTCCACCAGAAATTGATCCCCGCATATGGTTGGAAGACAGGTACTGGAGGATACCCAGGAAGTACAGGAATGAAGACCCCAATGACAAATACTGGGTATGTCTCATTCGTACATGGAGGAAGCTCCTGCCCCCCGACCGACCCGCACCAGAAAGGTGGGAAGAAATAAATACGCAGCCCTTATTCGGCAATCGCCTAATAACGGACCCTGGAAGGCGTGTACGATGTGCTTCAAATTCCCCATGGAGGGGTGGGTGAAACACGGGGTACGAAGGGTTGGGGACCTCTGGGATGCAGAGGAAAGAAATTGGAAGAGCACTGAAAGGATAAGAGCAACCCTTCGATACTGTCAATTTACTGAAAGGGCACTTAATGAGTTGATTGACAGCTTCCCTCTCACTGATAAATTACCCTCAGAAAAGGCCCCGGTGCAAGAGAAGATGACTGGGTGGGGCTACCTGATCACGAGTGGGAAGTAGGGTATGTGCACCTCGCTGATCAAACACATGTACTAGTTGAAGTCTTCTCCATCCTGAAGGATGATGGATTAAGGCGCAACCACCAACCCTTCACATGGAAGGAGAAAAAAAAGGTGTATCATATCAGGGTCATTAATGTTAGAAGTCACCAGAGGGTGTATCGCCCAATGGTCCCAATCGAAGACCTCCCCGTAGACCTTGATGAGTGGCGGTGGACCATGAACATTCCACCCAGAAAGGGGGAGGCAAAAATACTGACATTACGAAACCTAAAATCCAAGTCGGCCTACCGTATGCTCAGACCCAAACGTAGACTACGGGATCGCATAGACGATAGATGGTATCGTCACCTCAATGTTGACCGCCATCTACTGAAGCCCATACGGTGGTTTACACAGTACAACAAAAGACCCCCCAAAATCTCCGCCCTCCAATGGCAAATAGAACACAGGTGTCTACCAACTAAGGATTGGTTGATAGGCCATACCCACCTGGAACAACAAGGGAAGGCATTGCCATGGTGTCATCGATGTCTCCAGAGCTACCCTGGGGGGAGACGGGCCGAAACCATCAAACACATTTTCCTTCAATATCCCACGTCGGTACTACTGTGGAGAAGTTGGGATAGAATCTGGCGACACATAGTTCTCGGCGCAGTATGGGCATGGGATTGGAGGGTCATACTTTTGGGGCATTTCCCTCCAATCCGGGGGAAGACATTTGAGGAGAACATGTTCAACCTAGGTAGACGGCGTGTGCTATTGACTATATGGTGGAGAAGATGTTGTTTGGAGTTAAGAGGGGGCGCGGGTGGAGGACGGAGAGGCTATGGAACAAATTCGGACATTGATTCATCATGAGTTTGTGACCCAATGGAAGACAACAAAAGACAAGCTCGACCAAACGTCTTCCTGGGGAGACATGAACAGGATCATTGCTACATTCTGCGAGGACTGGCTGGGTGGAGAAAGGGAGGGATGGGTGGCCGAGGTGAAATGGACCGGCCTGACAAACAGAGAGAGAAGCACGAGGGGAACTCCGAACAGAGATAGTAAGAGTATCAATTGGTCTTTCACGACTGGACCAAGATAGACCCCGGCTCCCCGTTACGTCCCGCCCAGGACTTCGCAGATCCGTTCCCACCCCATCCGTTGTCCTTAGCAGAAATTTTGCCGCCTGCATGAGCTCGGGGATTCTCAGATCGCGCTCAGAACAGGCCCGGCTTTCTGGTTCTCCAAATCTTACTTCCCCTATTCTTCGCATTCTGTTTACTCCTGCTCACCTCAGCTTACTTCAGTTCGAATATAAGATATTGCTGTTTATCTCAGATTTACCCTGGGGTGAGTGTCAGACAACTGTTGTCTGATGCTGTCTGATTGTACTTAAATGAACTTCAATTCAGTCCGGACCCGCTTCTCAGTGAAGTTGTTGTACAGTATCCTTCCAGAAAGTCTCAGAATGTTTCAGCTGATTTCAGCTGTCTTCAGCTGTCTTCAGCTGACTTCAGCTGATTTCAGCGGATTTCAGTGCAGCCTAGTTCAGCCTGTTTTTCAGCCTGTTTTCTGTTGTTTTCTGTTGTTCCAGTTGTTTCAGTTTTTTTTCAAAACACATGCTATTGCAGATGTGCAAAGACACAATAGGCGCCATGAAGATAGTAGGTGGATGGCAGAGGCTAGGGGATGGAGGGAGACTCCACTGGTGCCCCCCGGTGGTTTCCCCCCCAATACCCGACCGTGCTGCAGGTTAGGCATGGAAGAGTAGACTGAACATGGGACGCTGGACCCGGTTTCCAGCACATTGGCGTCACTCTCATTGATGTACTGTTTTGTTAAAAAAAAGGAGAAAAAAAAAAAAAAAAGGGGTCGCTCGGAGGAATTCTGGGACGACACCTATAGACACCTGGTTCACCTTTTGGAGACCAGCCCAAGCCTCCGAACAGCATTAGAACAAGGTCTGCCGGAGGGAGGGAGTTGGCACCAAATGTGCCATCGTTTATTGCCAATAGTGGCAATGAGACTCCAACCCCTCCAATTCAAGGCCAGGAAAGACCAGACACCCAGTCAACTTCAGGAGGACAAAATGGCGAAAAAGAATTCTTTACTTCAACGGAAATTTCGCAGAAAGCACCAGTCCTTATGGGAAAAGGAAGTACCGCACTACTAGTAGCTATAACATCTACCACAGAGGAAAAGGGAGAGAACACAGATAAAGTCCTAAGTAGCGGCATGGGTCCTGACATTGAGAGGTCGGTTGTCATCAAAGGATTAGGGGCAGTTAACGAAGGAATAAAATTTTTCAAAAAAATGTTATCCCCTGCTAATCATGCAGTAAGACATGCAAAAGACAACTGCACCATTGTCACAGCTGAAACAGATGAAACAGGTTACTGGTCTGCAGATCGGAAAGTTGTTTTAGGTGATTCTCATACCTTAATGCAGACTGCAGGCTCACATGAGGCTGTTTTGCAAACAAAAACCAGCATGCAGGGGGAAGTAGCTGAGGAGGAACAAACAGCGCAGATAGAAGAGGACCAGGCAGGGGGTCTGACACTGGATCAGAAGGTCAGGGAGCCAGACAAAAGACAAGGGATGAGTAAGGAGGAGGGAGAGGAGGGGGAAGGATCATTAGGGGGAGAGAATGAGGAAAGAAGTCCCCGAATGATTGGGGGTCCAGGGGAAGGGGTAGAAATAACACAGGTAGAACAGGCACGGGGCCTATCACTCAGCCAGAAGGGCAGCGGGGCAGACAGGGGTCAGGAGAGCTTGAGAGCAACTGGACAGCAAGGAGACAAAGTCATCGAAGGGGAGATGGGTAAGGGGGTTTATAAAGGATCACTGGGGGAGGGTCCGTGGAAAGAAAGCATGTTGTTAAAGGTGGATCCAGCGGGAGAAAAAGGGTTGGGTGAGGGATCTCAAGGGGAAGAGACTTGGATTGGTGGTCCTCTGCTGACTTGGGACTCCGAGGACGCTCCACCTAAACGGGCGGAAGAATCAACAACTACCTATAGCATCAAAGAAGTGATATCGGAGTTAACAGGGGAGTGTAAGTTTCTGCTCCTCCCTCGGTCACAAGAAGACCTTGCTGAGACACATCAGAAGGGAAGTTACGCAAGGGGGACTGCAATCAGAAGGAGGAGGAAGTCACCAAGAACTAGAGAAGACAGATCTTGGTAACAGGAGGGATTGGGGGAAAGGGGTAGTTACAGACAATAGTACACAGATGACGATTGGGGAGAATCTCCAAATGGTAAGGCCTCAATCCAATGTGCAGCAAAAGCACCTCTCTCTTCCTCCTCTTTCACTGCTAGACGATACGATAGTCAGCAAAAGACAGAAATTATATTTTTTACTAGCGAAAGGGTACGCAGAGCTGGCATTATCCAAACCTGGCATTTTAATCCTGCCAGTCAGACAAAGTAAAGGAGAATGGGAGGTTGACCTTTCTGAACCAGTTGGATCTGCACATAGAGAAGTGACTGTACATGGAACACCGGCTGGCTTTCTTTCACCTTTGCTGGGAAAAATGACAGGGGAAGCGCGCTTCAAGGCTGAAATAACTAAAGTTATTCAAGCACAGCTTCCACCTGGGGGAGTGGCTTAGGGGTTTCTACAGTATTGTGGTTGTAGACTAGATAGCCAGTTGCTGCTTCACCCACCGTTAAAATCTGATGGGTGATGCATTTGTGGTTGTGGGATCTCAACTATTTACTCTCCGAACCACTGTGGGGTCTCAATTTTTTATTATTTTTTAAAAAGAAGCCAGCTGTGGCCGACTTGTGGCAGCATGGAGGGGGAGGAGAAGAGAGAAAGAGAGGGCATCATCCTATATGGCCACAGACCGAGACCTGAGACCAATACTCACACCCATACCCCAGATCCCATACTTTGGACCCCAGATGCAGACCAAGACTGCAGACCTGACCGCCAACCCGGACCCCATGCCTTCCCAAAGCGCTCCAAGTTTTCCAACCATTGATTGGAAACGAATCATTTTATTGCCTAATCAACGGCGGTGATAGGCCTTTGATAAAAAAGACGACCAGTCTCATCCCCGCCTGATCTGGAATGTTCAGAAAGGTGCACAATGCACATGTATTGTGGATCCTTTGCGTGCGCATGACGATTTGATCGGTAAAAAAGGGTCAAAGAGGGTAAAAAACAGTGAAAAGACGATAACAAAAGGTTAAAAGACTTCCATCACATAAGCTTTGGCAAATCAAATGCTCCCTCCAGCCCCTGATCAAGCTCCATGAGATCACCCTTTATATCCAACGGATCACCGTCTTTTGATTCCTTGGGCTTTTCGTCTTCCTCCTTCGATGACGGATCGGCACCCCTAAGCAGAGCCTTCGCTTCTTCTCTACGCCTGCAACAGAAACAAACAGTGAGATAATAAGAAAACTTGGTGTGTACATACTGACAGACTGACCGACTGACAGACAGACTGGCAGAGTGGCACAGACTGACAGTCTGTCAGTCGTCCAGTGTGTCAATCTGGCAGAGTGACACAACGACAGACTGACTGTCAGACTGACAGGCTGACAGACAGACTGGCAGAGTAGTGATACAAGCTGACAGATGGAGGGACACCGTCTGTCAGTCTGTAGACACACTGACAGACTGACAGATTGACAGATTGACAATCTCTCAGTCGCCCAGTGTGCCAATCTGGCAGAGTGACACACTGACGCACCAACAGGCTGAGTGTCAGAATGACACCGACTGACAGGCTGACTGTCAGAGTGACACCGACTGACAGGCTGACAAACTGACAGATTGAAAGACGATCAGACAGACACTGCGATATCCCACAACGATACACTACAGACAGTGTGATATCCCACAATGATACATTAGAACCATGGCTACTCCAGACCCGAACACTGACCCCAATCCGTATCCAGTCAGCTGGCCAGTCCGGATGCTATCCAGACGTATGTCCGGATATCCAGAGCAATCCCCACCATCCACACATGGTCTGGATAGCCCCTGATTGGTGCGTCCAGTGGCAGTAGTACAGTACCCTGTGCGGGCCTGTGGGGCTGTCCTCTGGTGTAGTGGGGGGTAGACTAGATGATAGAGTAGGTGTTCATGCCTGCTGGTAGAGAGACTGGCAAGGGCAGAGAACTGTTAATGTTATTGTATCAATTGTATTGAGGTGGGAACGGGGACATTCATCATCAAATCATTGTTATGTCATTTCTGCTACGACCATCTTCTCCCAAATTGAACACATGGTCATTAGCACTGTATCTAGACTAAAAGTTGCCCGGAATACAGCCAGATAAAATGACCATGCGCCGCATGCGGCATGTGGTGTGGTGTGATTCGGGCGAAGACAGTAGTCTGCTCATCATATGCATGCTCGTCCACAGAGCTCCTTTGTTTTGTTTTTTTTTTTTGTCGACAGAAGTCCTAATGTTTCTGTTGAGTTTCTCCTTCGCAGTTTCTTCGCCCTTGGGCAGGAGAATGGGTGGTTTAATGCTAGATAAGCATGCACCTGGTCTTGTTTATTGGCCTGCCCTCATACACAAACACCCGCTAGGTAATGTTTCGTTTTGATGAAGCATATCAGATAAGACAAAACTTCACAAAAGAATCGAAAATGCTCCGTACCGTCTGATCTCAGCCAGTGCCTCCTTGCGGCGTTTCAACTGCACTTCCAATATGTGGATAAGCGTCGTGCGTGCCTGTAGCAGAGACCATCAGAAATTCAAACTGGTTGACGTCAACATAGCAACTGGAAATCACAGCAGAAAAAGAAGAATATATCCTGCAAAATTGAGAAAATATATAATCAATCAGAACTGCCCGATAAACCATGTAGGCAGAGAAGGAGAAGAAAACAACAAACAAGGGGCTATATATTGTCACATAACTACGAACTAAAAGAGCGCAATTTGCAAAACAAACGGCAAAAATTAAAAATTAAAAAAACAAGACAAACATGAAGGGCACAGTGAAACCATTCATTTTTCTCATTCCTCTTTTGACTCCCCTTTCACTGTGCCTCTCACATACAAGGCTCGCCACGTTCTTGTACGCTGTGAGAAAGAGACAGAGTGAAGGGGGAGGGGATAAACACAGGGAGGAGAGATGGAGAGCAGACAAACAAAGAACGATAAAGGGAAAGTAAGGGAAAGTATGGAGTATGGAGTGAGGATGAAGGCAAAAGAGGATAAGAAAAGGCTCAAGAATGAGTCTGTCCTTGACGATAGAGAGGACATACAATGTAAGGATGACGTGGATGAACACATGGAAGACCTAGCTGAGCATTCTCGGTGCAACAATTGCCACGACGGGTGGCATTGAGCATGCCCACCATACACCCCCAACAAATGGCATGTCGATTGCAGGCCAAAATGAAAGAAGAATGGTCACCACAAAAGAGCACGCATTCAGTATAGCACCCATGGCTGCAAAATGGACATACAGTGTCCGGATGCGGAAGGTGCCTGCAGTCAGGAACGGTGGGACAGTCCTCTGCACACATGGATGCAGAAACCATGTCATTGTAGTGATTGTGACAGAGACGATGGCGGCTACAGCCGAGTGTAACAGTGTTTGTGGCTGTGCAAAGGAGAAGGTCGCAGACTGTTGGTACATTGTCTTGCTGCAGCACAGGGCCAGAGGAATGATCTTCGACATAAAAGAGATTGCGGACGGTTTGTTGTGGCAAGAAAACAGCATCATTTCGTAAAAAATCAGTGACATCAATCATGGCATGGACCATGGTGCCGTTGTCCCACAGCTCCCAGTGGTCAGAGGCATGTACAATGGCCATGTAATGGCCAGGGCCGTGCACAAATGCAGGCAGAGATGTGAGATGGAGGATTAAACCACTCACCTGCTCGAGTATTGCGTAGTTCAAGTTGACGGTCCCTCATTGCTACTTGTAGGACAGCAATGGTAAAGCCTTCTACACTGGTATAATTACAATCCTTTGGCTGTCGTTGGGGAAGATCAGCATCAAGCTGAAGGGCGATTGCAAGGAAGTCTGATGGTGTATAAAACGGGTGGTGGAGAATGTGAAGACAGATATTAGTTGTTGTCAGACCACAGAGATTGGTGAGGTTCTCAGGCTGGTTTGTTGGATGCTAGCCAACAATTTGCAGATCGCCCAGATGGTGTTGCAAGCCCAAACTGTGTTGGGTTGTTTGCTGGTCAGTCATTTGCAGATCACCCATGTGGTTTGCGTGTGGCGGAGCACAAAATTGTGTTTCATCCGCACAATGCTGGTCAGCCATTTGCAGATCCCCCATGTGGTCTACGCCTTGTGGGGTCAACTGCGATCCGGGCAGATCATGTTCCAATCCCTCAACATTTAGGGCTGCATCCTGAGTAGGGACGGGTACCTGGAGTCGGGAGTGTACTCTGGGCAGCAGCTGCATCCTGAGTAGGGACTGGTGGCTGCCTGCAAGCAACTGGACTGTCTGCAGGAGGCATAGGAGCGGATATTGCCGTTTGAAACAAAGGAACCACAACAACCTGTGGAGGAGGCACAGAGAGAATCGGGGCAGACAAAGAAACAGGTTGCTGATCCCCGGACAAGTGACGATGCCTCGGATGTCGTCGGTGATACACAACAAGAGGAGTGGTGGTGTTGCAAACAGAAGCTGAACTTGTAACTAGCAACGCACGTGGAACAATGGGAACAGTGGAAACTGGAGAGTCTATTCGCAAGCGAGACCATGGAGGAGATGGGGGTGGTGAGGAGGAACGCAATCGTCTACGGCCAAGCACAGACAAAGATGAGAGGGGGGTGCGTTGGGCAAGATTTCGGATCAAAGGACGTGAGCGTCGGAGAGATTGTGATGTTCTTTACATTGGAGCTGCAGGACAGGAAGCTGTAGCAGTAAAAACTAAAGTAGGGGGAATTACAGTTAGGGAAACTGCTGTACTCAAAACTGCAGCAGTGGAAACCGCAGCAGTAGAAACTGCAGCAGCGGAAACTGGAGAAGTGGAAATTGGAGCATATATATACTGTAGAGAGCTCAGCCTCTCCATGAGTTGGTGAAACTCCAACGAAACAGTCTGTCACAGCCCCCCCCTCGTTTGTTTATCCTCTTCTCCCTCTCTGCCTATAGTTCACCAGGCAACGCAGACATGACAGCTGACGTTCGCGAACTCAAATGCCTCATCCGAAACCCCAGCATACCCGCCAACGCTACACAGCTCTACCTCGTGACTCATGTACTAACCACATCAAGGCCGTACGTACATGCGCATGATATAAGGTAATTCGTGCAACGAACTTGCACCCATGTGTTAGCTGTCTTCACCCAAATAGAACGCCCGGTCATTATCGCTGCATCTGGACCAAAAGTTGTGCCAAATACAGCTAAAATGACCGGGCGTTCTATTCAGGTGACGACAGTAGCAGTAGTTGCATCGAAACCCTGACCCTCGAGAGCCATAAATATTTGTGTTTGTGTCAAACTTATGCCACCCACACATGTCCAGTTCTCTTTTTTTCTTTTTCTCCTTTTTTTGCGGCATGTCCAGTTCTGTAACTCCACTGCAGTGGTCTTCACTGTTATGACCTTACCCGACTGCAGTGCTCCAATTGTGAATGCTGCAGAGCCTTTTTCCACACTCTTTTTTTTCTTTTTCTTTTTTTTTTGCCTTTCCTCATTGTACTGATCTTGTGGATGGCCATATTGTGTCTGTTGACAACAATATCATCTGCGATGATGGTCCCCGCCAAGCTCTTTTCAAGAAGGTTCTGAGCATATTCGCTTCGATAGAGAAACTGCTGCTGATGCGTTCCAAGCGCAGGCAATTGAACTTGATGAGCACATTGGCAATCACAAAAACTTGTTGGCCAGACAATCTGGATCTACTTCTTCCTCGTCCATTTCTCAGAAGTTGAACAGCTGGCGTCCTGCAATCCTCTCGCACAATGTCAGTCCAGTGCATCTCCGTTCTCGTCATCCTGTGGTGTGGGCCGCCCATGTTCACTTCGTTCTGCACATGCGTCAGTGCACTATCTTCAACAACACTTTGCCATTGTCCCTGTGGACAAATCATCGCATAATTAATTTGGTAATCTGCTGCAAGAATTGCTAGGGGTTTCATCTATAATCTGACCATTTGAACAGTCGCACTTGTATATACCCGCCCTCATGGATCTGTTGCTGACGTCCTTTGCAGCCATGCATACAATGCATAGCCATGCAATAACAAATCACACAAAAGGGAATACCCACATGCTGATAAGCTGCCTTACCTTTTTTAATATAGATCAAATATCCATATTGACAAGTGAAGAAAGTTACCTGGGCTACCAGCCGGGTCGCCCAGGTCACCTCGTTTGCCCAGGCTGCCCGGTCGGGCAAGGACCAAGGAAGTTCCCAAAAAAAAAAAAAAAAAAAAAAAAAAAGAGTGGAAAAAAAAAGTTACGCAGAAAAATCAACTGAACAACTTTTGCCTCAGGGTCACATCGGATTTCTTCACAAAATGTAAAATAAAAATAAAATAAAATTATTATGATTTTTTTTTTTTTTGCCCGGCCGGGCAAGTGGTCCCAGCCCACTCTTGGAATTGGAAAGTAGAGGCGAGGAGCTAATATCAGCAAGGAGCCGAAATCAGCCGTACGCAGAAAACACAGACACGCTGCATGTAGCGGAAAGTCAAAACATGTGTAACTCGGGAAAAAACTCATCGATAATCGGAAGATGCAACAACGAGTATCACCATAGCCTTAGCTGTAGAGTACGAACCACCGCCCACATGGACGGCAGTAAGTCTGGCGTCCCTCTACCGGTTTCGGCCGGAGCTAGAATCCAGCCTCATCAGGCGGGAAATACACTTCCGAGATGAAACGTGAGTAACTTCTAGATCTCAAGTACTGAAGCTATCGTGCTAGCTGCCGGTAAGTACTGTTGGAAAAAACAGTTACCTCTACAACCTTATCGCGCACCAGGGGAGGATGCTCTTATCACCCCCCCGCTAGCGACGCTGCCCCAGTTTAAAAAAAAAAAAAAAAAAAAAAAAAAAAAAAAAAAAAAAAAAAGCCCTACGAAGCAGTCCCCGCCTTGATAAGCAACTCATACCGCAAGGGATGGGCTGGCTCTTTCTCTACACTGTTTTCTTGGTCCCCTGTTCCTTGTACTCATGCTTGCCGGTGATAAGCAACCGAACTGATGCCCCCCAGAATAGAAGGGGCTTGGGGTTTTGGAAAAAAAAAAAAAAAAAGAAGAAGAAGAAAAGTGTTTGCAAGAAAGGCTAAGTTCAAACACTATCCGTTAAAATTGGAACCATACAGAGAACCTAGACAAGATTAGCACACGGCCCCTGCGCAAGGATAACACACATAAATCAAGAAATGGTCCAAAATCCAAGATCCAGATCCAAGACGTACTGGTGTTCCGAGGAGAACACACACTCTAAAAGTCCTTGGAAACCCGCTCTGCTCAAAGGCTAAAATAATAAAATCAAATGAGCCATAAATTCGAAGGAGCCATAAAATCCAAAGGAAGGCCCCTCAAGACAAAATCCTAGTCCCAAAATGTGACGGGAAATTCGTATCAGAAAAATCGTATCAGGAAAAGACGTATCAGGAAAAACCGGGGAATTTTATAGACGTCCAGGGTATCTCTGATGCGGCTTCAGTAAATCCGCTGAAGAACCCTTCGCCTTAAAGCACCAGTACACCACACATCGGCCCCCGGGTGTCAGCACGAAACCC